CTAGATTTTCATCATGCAACAGTAAATATACTTTATAGTTTTTTTTGTATTCCACATTAATTAAAGCTCCTCATGAGCTGGCTTGCGAGCTAGATAACTTATTCAGCTTGTGAGGAGCCTTAACATTAATCTAATCTTAAATTTCAGTTAGCACATGCAATAAATTGTCATGTAAAATTTGGCTTTACTATTGAATCTGGTGAAGTTATTGAGGTGGCCATAAAAAATACAGCTGGTATACATGTGGCTAATTTCGAACTAAATAGAGTAAAAGGTAAATGAATATTTTTATTATACATGTGGTAGAAATAGGTAGATTACTGTCATAATTTATTGAGTCTTGGCACTAAATTAATTTCTACCACATGTATAAATGAGATGACAAATAAATATATATTTAAATTACAGATAATTCTTTGAAAGATAAAACTAAAAAATTAAGTACAATAGCTGGTATTACCAATTGGAATGAATGGGTATGACCCGATGAAGGTGTTGAAAAAGATGTATTTTTGCACAGCCTTTACCAGGGATTGATTCTTGGGATAATTCGTAAATAGTAAAATGTTTTTTAGCATTTTAGTAATAGACAATTAATTCAATTGTCAATTAACAAACTAAACGCATAATGCTTTTCTTAAAAAGTAAACAAATCAATGGTATAGTGAAAAAAAAAAAAGTTTTTTAGCATTTTTAGTTAATAATCAATTCAATTATCGTATTATCTGGAATATAAGCAATACAATTTTAACACATGTTTTAGTCGATAAAAACTGTAGGTGGTGCTTATATTCGAGACATTTGTTTGTGTTACATTACGTTTCCTTATCATTTGTGTTAAGTTCTAATTCATTTTTTCCCACAGCAATGCCAAAAGTCGAACGCCCTTCATATTCTGTTGCCGAAAACCCCAAGTATTGTATTATGCAAAACAATATGGTTTAAGACCAGCTGAGTGTCATTTTACTATCAATCCTTCAATGATTTCTCTTGGCAAAAAAAAAAGAGAAAGAACTCGATTTAGTAGAAGAAAAAAAAGAAGACGAATTGGGAAGAATTTAGGAAGAAAAGCATGTCAAAAAAT